CATGGCATCAAGGGGGTGGTTTCCAGGCCTCTCTTTCCTTTATAAAATGTAAAAAATTTAAATTTTACTAAAGAACAAAAGGTAAATTTTAGTGATCACTTTGAAATAAAACTAAGATCACTAGGTGACATGGAACTTCTTCATAAGTTAAGTGATTGTCTATGTTTTTTATCTAAAAAGTAAGCGTGTAATTGAGCTAAATCTTAAGTTGTGTAAAATTATAAGTTCATTTATTTTTTTCCTATTCAATTAAAGTTAAATATTAATTTCAACCATATAGTTTACAAGTCCTACTCATTTATTAACCACACATTCCATAAAACTCATTACAATTCCTTTTAAGCATTTACTAATAATTTCACATGAAAGTACACCCCCGTTTATTTTTGCTATAAATTTGATTTTTAATATAATTTTGATAAAAGTTAATGAAATGTGTGATTAAAAAGTTGAAAACATTTATGAAGTCCACGAAATGTGCGTGAATTTGAATTAAAACTTTTAACCATTTTAGTTTAACCAAATTCTACATAATTTTTGGAGAATATTATCTAGGAAAAAAGACCAATCGACTCCGAATGATGGGGTTTAAGAGTATTTTAAAGAAACTCTTTATTTATAAATAATCAATGCTTAAAAGTGAGTCTCAATAGATTCTCTATTTTGACTTTTTAAAATAGAATAGGTTTGACTTTCTAAATTTAGAGTGTAAAACTCTCTCTCTCTCTCACTTCTAAATATAAAATAATTACATTTAACAAGTTACAGATTTCAATGCTCTATTTTTTAAAGTATTCAAACTACATTTAAATTGATTGACTATTGACATATAAAAAATTAAGTTAAATAAATTATGAGGAGAAATCCATAAATGTTACTTAAAAAAGCAAAATGAAGAGCCAAAAAAGCGAGCGCCTCTCTTTCCTTTATAAAATGTAAAAAATTTAAATTTTACTAAAGAAAAAAGGTAAATTTTAGTGATCACTTTGAAATAAAACTAAGATCACGGGGTGACATGGAACTTCTTCATAAGTTAAGTGATTGTCTATGTTTTTTATCTAAAAAGTAAGCGTGTAATTGAGCTAAATCTTAAGTTGTGTAAAATTATAAGTTCATTTATTTTTTTCCTATTCAATTAAAGTTAAATATTAATTTCAACCATATATATTTACAAGTCCTACTCATTTATTAACCACACATTCCATAAAACTCATTACAATTCCTTTTAAGCATTTACTAATAATTTCACATGAAAGTACACCCCCGTTTATTTTTGCTATAAATTTGATTTTTAATATAATTTTGATAAAAGTTAATGAAATGTGTGATTAAAAAGTTGAAAACATTTATGAAGTCCACGAAATGTGCGTGAATTTGAATTAAAACTTTTAACCATTTTAGTTTAACCAAATTCTACATAATTTTTGGAGAATATTATCTAGGAAAAAAGACCAATCGACTCCGAATGATGGGGTTTAAGAGTATTTTAAAGAAACTCTTTATTTATAAATAATCAATGCTTAAAAGTGAGTCTCAATAGATTCTCTATTTTGACTTTTTAAAATAGAATAGGTTTGACTTTCTAAATTTAGAGTGTAAAACTCTCTCTCTCTCTCACTTCTAAATATAAAATAATTACATTTAACAAGTTACAGATTTCAATGCTCTATTTTTTAAAGTATTCAAACTACATTTAAATTGATTGACTATTGACATATAAAAAATTAAGTTAAATAAATTATGAGGAGAAATCCATAAATGTTACTTAAAAAAGCAAAATGAAGAGCCAAAAAAGCGAGCATTATTGGAATGGATAAAAATTTTGGGTCTCCAAATTTAAATATGCTCAAAGAGACTCTCTAACTTTATTGATTTGTTCTCATATTTTATTTAAGTTAATTTTTTAACATTTTGGTGGCTAATTAAAAATGTTATTTGAATAATTTAAGAAGTAAATTATTTAAATCTGTGAATAATTTAAAGTTAAAATTAAGAGTCTCTTTAGCTTATTTTTTAAACATTAGCTCTTTAAAATAATGAACATTTTCTATTTATTGTGTCTTTTGAAAATGTTCTAAATCAAGTCTTAATTCAAACTATAGAGATAAAAACCAAATAGATTATGAATGGAGCCATATTGATGCAACATACTAAACAAATTAGTTTTAATTCATTTACATGTAAATCGCTTTATTTTAATTTCATGCACTTAATTCATTTCTACATGCCCCCTTACTTTTGCTTGCTTATCAGGACTGGCACTAAAAACCTGTTGCTAAATCTTTTTTTGAAAATAAAAGCCTATTGTGGTGGATGTGAAAGGTAGGGGTAAGTCAAGCCTAACTTCCGCGGTAGCCTTATTGAAAAATTGACATCGACTTCAACAAATGACAAGGAAACATTCTTGATGCTGTTAAAAAGATATCGTTCCTTTCATATAGCAACCTAATGGTGATGGTGGTTCTGTTATCAAAGTTGCTAAACTTTTATTCAGTTTTTTTTTTTAACTATTTATTGTAATTAACTTTTTTCTAAAGGATGGTAGTGATGTCGTAGTCGACGTGATTGCATTTGTAAATGTGGTGTTCGAGTGCGGATGAGAATGGATTAGGATGGGTGGATCAGCTAGGTGGGAGAAGATGAAATTTGTGTTAATAGTATTTTAATAATTTTAAGCAGGATTTGTTTATTCTTTTGAAAATCTATGCTATTTCATTTGCAATTTTTGTTGTTTTGCTTCTTTTTTTTTTTTTTAAATAGTTATTTATACGATTTTGCTAGTGGTATATCGCGGTGTACCTAATGGTGTACACCCCACTCACACGGGCTAGGAACACACTCGAATAAAATATCATTTCTTTCACATGGGTGCCACACCCATGTGAGTGGGGTGTACACCATTCGGTACACCCCATTATGTACCACTAGACAAATTCTTATTTATATGGTTGAAATGGAGGGAATGATGAGTTTTGTTACATAATTGAAAGATTAAGGGTTGACTACGTTAAAAAAAAGTTGATCTTAGATTTTTTACGTTTCAGAAAGATTGAGGACGAAAATCAAAATCAGACAAAATCGGTAAACAAACTAAGGAAAAAGAAAAAAAAAATTCTTTATTTAAATTTTTGGACTAATACCTAGCTTCAAACGTTATTTAGATGCTAATTTGCCATAAAATCATAATGAAATTCTTGGATTATGAATTTTTTTATTTTTTTCCAAATTATCTGACCAGTAAATATAATTTAATGTAAGTGTGTCATTTGATACTAAACTTCAAATTATGTGAAGAATCTTTTCCAAATATAAAAACCAATAAGGTGTAAAGTCAAGTCTTATTTTTAATTTACTTTTTTGTTACAAGCAATCCAAACGGTTTTTTCTAGCCATCGGATTGGACCTCATTGATTTAATAAGTATGCAACAATAATATCTCTTTTGTTTGTAGATCATTCTTGCTAATTTACTTTTTGTTACAGGAAATTCAAACTTTTTTTTTCTAGCCGTCAGATCGGAACTCATTCATTTAACAAGTATGCAACAATAATTTCTCTTTTGTTTGTAGTTCATTCTTTTGCTAATTTTTCAGTGGAGTTAATTATTATGTCTAAATTGTAAGACGCAAATTTCTTCAAACAAAGGAAATGCAATAAAAAGTTGGAAAAAAATCGATCATCAACATTATGACCAGTAATTTTTGAGATATTTGAAAGACCCGAGTCCTAACTACATTATTTGGGGTTAAACAAATTTCATGGTAACCATCGATTTATTATTATTATTATTATTTTTAATAATTTGGTAGTTGAAATTTTCACTCACTTGATTAAATTCTATTTGTTTTTCGAACGAGATAACAAGCAAACAACAATAAGACGTGGCATGGATATGGAGGTCTTCCTTGTCATACATTCCATTTAGCAAACGTAATGAATTTTAATTGAGAGACAAAAACAAAAGGCGAGTTTCAGTAATTGGTAGTCAACTGAAACTTATTAATTTTCTCATCTTTAGCTAATAAATTGTCATTGTTAATGGCACACATTCCTTTAAAAAAATGTAAATAAATTTAACTGAGAACAAAAGATAATTTCTAGTTGAGAGTTGCTACATGTACACTAGAGTTATACAGCCCCCTCACATGCGAGGTTCTCTCATATGAGGGGGCTGTACTCTAGTGTACAAGTAGATTTTCCCTTTTTAGTTATATCTTTGAAATAAAATAAAGTTCATTGGGTGGCATGAAACTTTTCCATAAGTTGAGTGATTGTCTATGTTTTATACCCCAAATACAAGTGCGTAATTGGACTCTTAAGCTTATGTTTGTTTAACATTAAAAGTTATTAAAAAATATTTTTCTATTCAATTAAGTATTAATTACAATCATATATTTATAACTATTACCTATTTATTATTCACATATTTCATAGGCTGCTTGAGCCCCTTTTTTCCTCAAAAATATATTTTGGAATAGTGATTTGATAGAGAATGCATGGTTAAAAAGAAAGAAAAATTTTGAATTTGTGAGTAATATTATTTTATTTAAGAATATGTGATAGAAAATAAAAAAGAGAAAAATATATTTTAAAAATAATGAGGACCAAACTAATATTATAACTTCTAAAACCATAAAATAATTTATTTGAAAGTACTCGAATTTTCGGGGATTTTTTTTTTGGAAATAACGACCAATTGGCACCATAGGGTGGAGTTTAAGTCAAGTCTTCCTTTTTCGTATGTTTAATCAAGTAGTCATTATTTATACTCTTGCTTGGTGTACATCATATTTTATATTATCTTTTACATTTTACCACATTTCATTACACCGTTGAATAGGATAAAAATAAAAATAGTTTTTTCATTCAATTAATTCTTGATAACATGGATGATGTCAGCCATGATGTAAAGAAAGTTATGCACAAATGGCTTTATTTTTCTACACAAATTCATTCTTACAGCTAATGCTATAAGTAGTCTGCTTAAATGGTGAAAAATCACAAAGGAATATCTGAAAATTCTTAGTTACAATTGTTCTCAAAATGATAGTTGATCATAAGTTCTTTCAACATCTCCAATTTTTGGTCATTGTGCTACTACTGAGCTGGAGAACCACTTTTGAGCACTCTACGGGAATGAAAGATGGTATCAGATGCATAGAAAAGGAGAGAGAAGCTCTTCTCAAGTTCAAAGATGAGCTTATTGATGAATATGGCCGACTCTCTTCTTGGGGAAATGAAAAATATAAGGATTGTTGCAAATGGAGTGGTGTCTCTTGTGATAACCAAACTAATCATATTGTTGGGTTGGATCTTCGAAGTCCACGGAACAATGAAGAAAGTCCACGGAACAATGGAGATGAGAGTATTGCACCGCTAAGAGGTAAAATTGGCATCTGGTTGCTTGAAATCCATCATTTGAAAATGCTAGACCTTAGTTTCAATGATTTCAATCATATCAGAATCCCACAATTCATTGGTTCCCTAGGCAGATTACAATATCTTGATCTCTTCGGTTCTAATTTTATTGGAGAAATTCCACATCATCTTGGCAACCTTTCTGAATTGATTTTTCTTCGTCTTGGCTCATTCAATGATGGCTCACTAACTAGCACAAATCTTGATTGGCTTTCTCGACTCCATTCATTAAGTGATCTGCACATGGTCTCTGTTAACCTTACAATGGCAACAGATTGGTTTCAAACAATAACTAAGCTGAATCAGCTTAAATCTTTATTCTTACCTTCGTGCAACCTGCCAATGGTACTTCCTTCCTCACCTTTCAATACTTCTAATTCTCTTTTGGCCTTTGTGGTCTGGGAAAATGAGTTCTCTTCTTCATGGATATTTCCTTTGGTGTTTAACTTAAGCAGTAGCCTTATTTTTCTTGACCTCAGTTCCAACAAATTACATGGTGAGATTCCAATATCCTTGGGGAATATGAGTACTTTAACTTCTTTATATTTATCTGATAACCAACTTACAGGGAAAGTGCCTTGTCCTGCATTATCTTCCTCATTAATAGACTTAGATCTTTCTCGTAATATGTTTAATGGTACCATTACACAATGCATAGGAAGCCTTTCTAAGCTCGAATCTTTGTACCTTGGATCAAACAACTTTGAAGACGTAATCGCTGAATCCCATTTCTTTAATCTTTCCCAATTAAAATATTTGGACTTGTCTTTCAGCCCAAGTATCTCGTTCAATATCAGTTTAGGATGGAATCCTCCATTTCAACTGACATCAGTAGATTTATCTGGTTGCAAAGTGGGTTCGCATTTCCCCGCATGGCTTAGAACACAAACAACATTAGAGATTCTTGATATCTCTAATGCTGAAATTTCGGGCACGTTCTCTGATTTTTTTGGGGAGCAAAGTCCAAAATTATCAAGATTAAATGTATCACATAACAACTTCCAAGGTGTCCTTGCTGATTTGTCGTCAAAGTTCTCTACTTTCAATTACATAGATTTGAGCTTTAATCATTTTAATGGTTCATTACCAATTTTGCCTCATAATGGAACCGTATTGGATTTGTCGAATAATGAATTTTCTGGGTCAATTACCAATTTATGCAATAAAACTAGTGGGTATTGGGATTTTCTTGACCTCTCAAATAACTTATTGTCTGGGCAGCTTTCGAATTGTTTTGCAAACCAACCAAATTTAAAATATCTTAACTTGGCACATAATAATTTCTCTGGAAAGATCCCTTCATTAAATATCCATGCATCATTGCACTTACAAAACAACAGTTTCACTGGAGAAATTCCAACATCGTTGAGGAGTTGTACATCCTTGACTTTCATTGATCTCTCACTAAATAAGTTGACTGGTAAAATACCTATATGGGTGGGAGATACTTGGACTAAATTGGTCTTTCTGAGTCTCAAGTCCAATGAGTTCTTTGGTAGTATTCCTTCCAATTTGTGTCATCTTGCACACTTACAAGTGTTGGACTTCTCTTTAAACAAGATTTCAGGTGGTATACCAAAATGCCTAAACAATCTCACTGCTATGATTCAAGTGGATTCTAAGTTTGATGGGGCATTTCATCTTCGATACCATGGAGGCTTCGAGGGTGCATGTGTGACATGGAAAGGAAAGAAGGCCGAGTACATAAAAACTCTCAAATTTCTGAAACTCATTGATCTTTCAAGCAACAATTTAGTAGGCGATATTCCTACTGAAATTACAAGTCTCATAATGCTAGTTGGGTTGAACCTTTCAAGAAATAACCTGTCTGGATCCCTTCCTACAAATATTGGGCGACTAAGATCTTTAGATTTTCTTGATTTTTCAAGAAACCACTTCTTTGGTGATATTCCTACTGGTGTTTCTCAATTGGATCAACTTGGAGTGTTAGATTTGTCGTACAATAACTTGTCGGGCAAAATTCCGCAAAGCATTCATTTACAAACTTTCAATGACACTGTATTTGAGGGAAACCCTGGACTTTGTGGCCTTCCACTTACAAAAGTTTGTCCAGGAGATGAAAGTGCTCAAGTGCCGAAGATCAATGATAATGTTCATGGAATGAAAGACCCAGATGAGGAGGAGGACCAACTTATCAATATTGGATTTTACATTAGTATGGTAGTTGGGTTCGTTTTTGGATTTTGGGGGGTATATGGAACTTTAGTGCTCAATAACTCATGGAGGATTGCATTTTTCAAGTCGTTGAATAAAAAAAATTGGTCATTGAAATTTTCTTTTTTAGTCACTTATTTAAATTCTATTTGTTTTGCTAACGAGATAACAAGCAAACAAAAGTATTTGAGAGACAAAACAAAAGGCAAGTTTCAGTAATTGGTAGTCAACTGGAACTTATTAATTTTCTCATCTTTAGCTAATAAATTGTCAACTTTAATGTCACGCATTCATTTAAAAAATGTAAACAAATTTAACTCTCAACAAAAGATAATTTTTAGTAATCATTTTGAAATAAAATAACTAAGTGACGTGGAACTTCACCGTAAGTTTTGTGATTGTCTATGTTTTTTATCCCATAAGCGTGTCATTTAATTCCATCTTAAGCCTGTCTTCATTTGACATTAAATGTTACTAAAAAGATATTTTTCTATTTAGTACTAATTACAATCAAATATTAATTATTCTACAATGAATTTTTGGAGAATTTTTTTCTGGAAATAACGACTAATTGGCACCAGAGGTTGGGGTTAAATTCAAGTCTTCCTTTTTTCATTTGTTTAATGAGAAAGTCATCTAGTTAAGTGACCTGTTAGTGAACTCAATTAACCTAACAACGGCAATCGATTGGTTACAAACAATAACTATGCTTATTAAGCTTCAACTTTTATCCTTAGGCTCATGTCACCTGTCAATGGTACTTCCTTCCTCACCTCTCAGTGGCGTCCCTAATTATGGGCAGGGTAGGGGATCGCTTAAGGCCCCACTTTGGGGGTCCAAAATTATGTAAGATTAATTGGTTCATTGAAAAAAAAAACAAAAATTATATTATTGAAACTCTTTAAAATAAAATTATCAATATGCAAACACAAGAAACTAATAAAAATTGAAAATGCAAAAATCTTTAGAAAAAACATATAAATAGCATATATTTTCATTTTATCATATAAATACATCACAAACATTACTCTATATATGTAAGTAATTTGATTCTTTATCTTCCAAACATCCATTTTCTTTTCTTAACCAAATAAAAATGTCTTCAACGCAACAAGAAATGAATTATCTCACTTTTGAATTAAAATTTTGAAAATTCTATTTACCAATTAGGTCTGATCTCACTACCATTATTACATCCTTACAAGTTTCTTACTTTATCCCTTATCTTCAGAATGTATACTATATAGTACATAATCTATTATTATTATTATTGTTATTATTGTTGTTGTTGTTGTTATTGTTTTGTTTCAATCTCATGATAATAACTTTTTGAAATGCTTGTTGAAGGTACTTTGAATTTAGTAATTCTTTGCCCGTGTTCATACTTCTTATTTATTAATAATTTAGTATGAATTAATATAAAAATAGAAGCTCATTTGTACTTGATCATCATTTTCAATATTTTGTTATACTATCTCTCTGGTCAACATTCTCTAACTTTGTACATAAATCAGTTAAATGCGTATTCAATTTTGTTTTAAATATTGTAGTGAGAAAATGATCAAAAAACGAATAGACCTCTTTCCCATTGCATTATAATTATGTGTGCCAAACATCACTTATAATTTGTATTGCATGTTGAAATTTGATATTTTGTTATTTTTCTCTTCAAATTTTTGGGCTTAGCTGTCTGTATTAGATTCTTCGTAATTATATTAAAACTCTCTATAAGAAGGCTCAAGTAAGAATACGATGATTTTTCTTCAATAGGACCCCATATTTGAAGTTGACATAAGGCCTCCGAAATATTAGGGCCGGCCATGTCACCTCTCAATGCTTCTAATCTCTTTCTGACTTTAAACTCTTGGAAAAATGGGGGTACTTTTGAAAATGACCTGGTCAAATCCCATTTTTTCCACTTCGACTTTTCAACGGTTTTATATTTCCACATTGACCTTTAGGATAATAAAAAATAAAGATGCCCGTAAGTATATTATACAATTACAAAATATTGTTTTGTTTAAAAGACAATACCACCTTTTTAGTTAACAAGTGAAAACCAAACATTTTCCACATAAAATTTCAAAATCAACTAACTTTTCTTATCTGTTTATTCAAATATAGATAGAAAAATCTTTCATCTTCCATCTTCTTCAATCTCAAAATCTCATAAATATATCAAACACTAAACAACTGGTTGTTACGGCCAGCAGTTAACCATCGGCCCAGCCAATTGTAAATCTCTTTTTAATAAATTTCTGTTGCCCAATGGTTGGGCCAAAATTTTTACTATTTTTCTTATAATTAAAAATTTTGTATCGTCATGCATATATGGTTGTAATCCAAGTTTGTCATTTTGGTGATTTCGAATTTGATGAAAAAGGATCAATAGGTGTGAAAATGGACGAATGCTGTATATGGTGGTATTCCAATTTTCATAACAGAGAGCACATCGTATGAGGGAATGTATCATGATTTACAAAACAAGCTAAATGTCGATTCCCCTCAATACGATATGAAATCGAGATTTCAATTCAACAAGTATTCATTTATTTTGATTCCATCTATGAAGGTTACTTTAGATGCTGAAGTGAATTATCTATTTGAATTGAACAAAATGCACATGACTCCTCATCAACGATGTCACTGAAGGTGAATAAAAAAATTTAAGATAGAACGGATGACAATGCGAATGATTTTTGGGACACTGTATAGATAGGTCTAAAGTATGATGTGTTTATTTCGAAGACAGCTGTTCCTCATTGTGATCTCGCTGTTATACACAAAATTCAATCAATAAGTCAAGATAAAGAAAATGAAAATTAATTTACAAATTAGAATTTGATTGCTTTATCCTGTCAAAGATATGAGCAAAGTGAGAGTTCGGGGCTGGATCTGGTGGACCATCTTCTAATTCTTCTCATATGGTTCCGGATGATGAGAATTTTCATGTTGAGCAAATGTTTGAAACAAAAAAAGATTTGTAGGAAACTGTGCACCAGATGGCATTAAAATACAACTTTAAGTTCAAATAAAGAAATCAAACAAGTCATTGTTGACAATTTCTGTGTTGACAACAGTTCCCGTTGGCATTTGCGAGCAACTAAAATGGATACAAAAGAATTATTTGCAGTATACAAGTATACATGGGAACATACTTGCGAAGTGAAAATTCATCAAAACGATCACATGCAAGCTTGACCATGATTTATTGGTCAACAGATAATGCACAAGTATTAGGACCCTCGTACGATCTAAACACCTTCGAACATCATTAACGATATCCGTTGAGAGTACGGAGTGATCATGAATTACTAGAAAGCCTGGAAGGCTAAGGAATACACCTTGGAAGATTTAATGGGCTTAGCTGAGGAGAGCTATGCTAAATTAGCTAGGTATTGCGATAACATGGGTGAAAATTGCTTTAAGTTTTTATTGAAATGCGATGTGACCCCATAATTCTAGTCGATAGTACAACTCTGAAGCTAGATGCCTACATGCTAAAATGCAAACATCCAAATTTATCCTCTTGTATTCAACATATTCGACAGCGAGAATGATCTGTCAATACGTTGGTTCCTTACAAAACTGAGGGAGGTAATCGAAAGAGTCAAGGACCTTGCCTTTATAACTGATCAGGGACCATCTATAATAAATGGTATCGCTGAAATTTTTCCTGAGGCATATCATCAGTGTTGTATGTACCATCTATAAGGCAATTTGAAGACTATGTATTGGGGTAAATATATCGTTTTATTATTTAGGAGAGCAGTTGAAGCTTACAGTATTGAAGAGTGTAATAAATTCATGGTCGAAATAGGAAGTAAATCATTCCCTGCATGGGATTATCTAACAGAAATGGGGATTGAACATTAAGATTGTAGAGGTTGCCAGAAAATTGAATGTGGAACCACTGGATGAATTGCGCTTTCCCGTAAAATGTAAATGTAATATGGCATACATAGTGAACTTGACTAATAACACATGTACTTGTAGTCTATTTTAGCTGGAGCATTTTTCATGCGAACATACAGTCGCGACATTATGTTCTACTTATTACACTGTTGATTATTAAAAAGCAGCATATGCTGAGAATATATTTCCTCTACCGAATGAAGTCGAGTGGAAACTTCCCAACTATATTGTCCTACTTAATAGTTTATTACCATAAACCGCATTATCCTGGACATCCACGTATATCTAGAATACCACCTATCGGAGAGCAACATGGCATATTTGTCAATTTTGTACAAGTCAAATTCTCCTAAATGAGAATTAGACCAATTTATAATGATACCACTATTAAATGAACAATATTTACATTTATTTTAAAATGTTTAAAATTATTTTGTAATTAAATAAATAATTAAAATGCAATGTTTACATAAGTTTTGAAATATATTCAATTATTTCAAAATTAAATAAATAATTGAATGTATAATGTTTACATAAACTTTGTAATATGTACAATTATTTTATAATTAAATAAACAACTCAATGTACAATGTTTACATAATTTTTATTTTACAATTATTTCATAATTAAATAAACAATTAAATATACAGTATTTACGAATCACAATTAAATTCATATAAATCACACGCTAATTTATTCCTCCAAATTTGTATCATGATTGGTTTATTCCATCAACCTTATGTGTTATACTCAAAAATTTAATAAGCTTTATTGGGAACATGTCGCAATCACCTTGCAATTGAATAATAATGTGTTAATTCGGTAGTGTAGCTAAAATCTAAGTTTTCAAGTTAAAAAATATTATAAATACTTGCGATCTCGACTTTCTGGCCATCGTCGTGTCCCTCATGATAGTCAATCTGTCTTGCACAATCACCACAGCGGGTGGTTTTGCTCAAGTTGACTCTGTGTTAGATGTGAATGATCAGAGTTTTACACATGTATAGTGAAATCAGCAAAGACGATCTCCACAACAAAGTAGTGATGATTCTTAATCACTGGAATGTACATATGCGTACAATCTTCCTATGACTTTTTCTTGACACTCGGCCACATCCCTATAACCCACTCAAGCATATATTTGGGTTCATATACTCATTACCTATAAGGTGGAGTGACTAATACTTAATGGTAACTACAGGTATGAACTCAGTGCTCAATATGATCAACCTGGAATGTCAAATAATTTTGGGTATCTTTAAATCCAATCACACAATAAGACCATGGCCAGGTCGATGTGTGAC